AAAATGCCCGTGCAAATCGTACATCGTGTAAAAATAAACCGAAAGCGATAAAACTCGTGCAAGCGATTCGAAAAAATCAATTCTGAAATTCATCTGTCACGCGTGCAATTTGCTACGATTTGTCCAACGTGTCTGTTCATTGCTCGCCGATCCTACTCGTGTTTGTGTTCATACACACTAGGTGCTATCCGTTTGCCATCGATATTACTATCTTCTAACTATTTGCAACAGGAATCCGTCCGTCGGTGTCGATAAAGATAAATTCAAGTAGAAATATCGACCATAGGTCGGACATGTTAGCCAAACTCGATCGTGCACAGTCTGAAAGGGATTAGGTGGGTTTTGAGAGCCACGTCGGAAGATATTTGTGCTCGATGGGGGTTTATTATAGTACGGTTGAATAAATATATTAACGAATTTCCAAATTAAGTGAAGGGTGTCTACCGTTGATCCGACATTGCGGTTTCCAGGCCCCTATATTCGTTCTGTGTCTATCAGCGTCGTCCAAGCCGTCGAGGAAATCCCACCGTGCTATTTCTGCGAAACTCCAGAAAGAGGAGAAGCATACTCGACGAGTGGAAGTCGATTTGTCGCGGCAGCCGTACGGGTTTTGATATTTATAACGCGTGCACGTACGCGCGTTCCACCCGGTTTCGCGGATACGCCGCGAGAAATCCGGCCAGCGAAGATTTATCGACTACTCGACGCTGGGTAAAATAATAATTCGCGTGAAAAACGCGCGCTACTCCATTAAAATACTCCAACAAATCCGCCCTTTGCGCCACGATACTCCTTCAAATTCGTCGACTGACAGCCCCCGATTGATATTTACATCAAAACACAGATTATACATAGAACTACTATTACTGCTAAAAGTGATCCCCTATTCAATCCCCCGACTCGCAATTTAATTTAAACAATTTTGCACGGAACACTATCGCCTACGAATTTTCCGAAAGATTTAATTAGCGATACTGGGAACAGAGAAAATTGTAATTGCATTTCCCGACGTTTCAACGTACGTAACACGGGGGAAAAAGTATTTCTCGTTTTGCAAAAAGCGCTCGTCACGGTTCCCTAAACCCGACCATTGTTGCACCTTTGAAACACGTTGCTACTTTGTGTCCAATGAATCTATTCGTCCATCTACTTCCGCCGGTTGCGTGGAATCAATGTTGTTTCGAATAACAAAATTCTGCGCAACGTTTGCCTCCGATTCGAGCGTTTTAACGGACGAAACGGAGCCGCGCTTTCGACAAGACGGAACGGCGATTCAATTCGCTCCGAAGTCCGAGAAAGTTTCCGCAGGGAGCCGGTCCGCCGACAATTAATGAACCCCGTCGGATTGAATTCCGACGATTTAACGTCGATGTTTTGCAATTTCGAGCTGCCCGCGACCGAAAGCAGCTTTGCTCGACGGAACTTCGGGGGCTACGCGGGCAAAGAACTTTTAAATTTCTCGCGATTCCCTCGACCGTACAAAGACCGGTCGACGTTTCCGATTGTTTCCTCGGGAAACTTGAATACCGAGACGCGAGTCGAGCTCGTCCAATCCCCCTCTGCGCTTTCCTTTGCAACGAGAGGAAGCTACGGTGATCGAGCCCCAACGAAACTTTGCTCGATCATTTATTATATTTTTATTTCCGAAAATTCGTACGCGTTAACGATGTCTTCAATTTTGTGGAGCTTCTGAGCATCGATTGAACAACTGACTATTCGTTAACGACGGAGTCGTAAGTACAAAGAATCGCAAGACCAAGTAATTACGGGCCGCGGGCGCATTATATGGCAGCCGGCTAATGCTACATAATTATGGCGCATTAAACCTTCGTTCCATAACAGTATTTCACGTGACATTTTTCTTCTTTTTTTTTCGCCGCACTTCTCGGTTCTCTTTTTTTTTTTTTATCGTCCGCCATAACACGGGCACCGATCCAGACGTTTTTAGCGGCGGCGTTCGTTAATGAATATCACAGGGCAGAATTTCCCTGCGCCGCGGTTTAACGTCGCTTCCGCGCAAGTATGCGAAACTTTCGTTGAATTCGAGAAACGAAGCATCCAACGGCTACTAGCCCCGACGTAATTGCGAGATTTCTGACGAGAACTGAACGACCAGACGGATCTCGAACGCGTGCGCGGATAAAATTTGATAAATAGTTGCCGAGATATTCACTCGTTACTTCCGTTAATTATTTCGCGGTTCTAGCTCGTCGTTCGCACGCCATACAAAACCTTCTCGAAGATGAAATATTAATTGGAGCGATTCGCCACGATCTACGAATCGTTAAAAACCCTGGAAAATTTGGACGCGCCTGCATTTTAGCACGAAATGTGCAACATGTCTGACTAGTGATTACTAATTCCACTTTGGGATCAGTTGACAGATGCTACAGAGAGTATGTTTGCTCTTCGTAAATGATTGCAAACGCAAGTAGAAGCAGCCAGCAATGAAAGCAAATTTCGTCGAAACACCGTAACGCGATCTACTTAAAAATGCATTCGGATTTTTCACCGACTCGCTCGAACAAGATAGTCCATAAATTTCTGGCCACACGGACGGTTCTCGGAGGAGGCATTGTGCGGTCGAAGAATAAGAACGTTGTGACGTCGCGATGTACCTATTGTTGTCCACGCGAGGTGTCGTTTTGTTAGGAAAGGCGAGTGGAAGAGGTGCTCGGTCGGGGATAGAATCAACACTGGCCTGCAGAACGAGACAAATGACGCTCGTAGCTGGACACGATAGTGTTACGGAAAAGTGTGTTGCTGTTTTCGTTTCGAGGGGAACATTGTCGACGGTCCGGGAGGTATTGTTGCGCTCTGTTATCGCGCGGAACAGAATCGATACTCTGAGTAGGGAAACGTTTCGCTGGCCGAACACGAGGTTTCGAGCTCTGGCGCGATCCTCGTGGAAATAAATCCTTTTTATGCCCGCGTACTCGTTCCTGGGGAAATATCCGCGCGCACCAAGACGATGTCCGGTTGTTTAAAAACTTGGAACACCGAGCCCAAAAAGCACCTCTCGCGTAATTTAACATCTTGATATTATTTTTAAGTGTTTAAGTATTTTATTAAAGTGAAATTTAATTTGCAACCTGGACAGTTGGAACGTTTCATTGTACGTTCCATTTTGGTGCACGATGGTGCATTGGCGCGGTAGTTTTTCTTCGAAACCGCAAACGGGAGGTACTGGTGCACAAAATATCGGATAATGGGGGCACGATTTAATTGCGTTATCTCTGGCCGGCCGGTCGTTGCGGGATAATTATTCCATCGATTCGAAATAATGATATTCTCCAGCGGACGAGCAATAACGACGAGTCGGGACGAGAGGGAGTTCTCGGGGCACGCTTCTCCGGTCCTGCGTCCCTCTCGACGAAACCTCCGGCCGCGCGCACAGTCTCGAATTTCATTGGCCGGAAATTGCGATCGTTTCCTACATACATATCGAATACCGCGGCCCGTTCCGTGAATTCTTGAGATTCCCCGGGCGCGAGTCGAGCGTCCCGGTCGAAGAAAAAACAAGGACCGAGTCCCGGGGAACAGGGAAGGCCGAGGAATCGGGAACGACAAAGACAAAGCGGGATAGCAAGAAGTTTCCACGGAAGTCCCCGGGAATGCGAGCAATGGTATCGAGTATCTCTTTCCGCTCTCCTCGAGACTCTGGTCGCTTCTCATCAAACGTGCTTTCCACAGAGCCAGGAGAGGAGGGGAAAAAGGGCCACGGAGAAAAGCGAAACTTCGCGAACGATTAAACGATAAAGTTTCGTTCGCCTCTTTGTATTTTTAATCGTGCGTTTTCGAGTCGAATTAGCGGGATTTCCGAACCCCCAACGCTTCGATTGTTATAGGATAGGTTTACACAGTGCGGTGGATAGCTGTACCACCACCCAATTTCTTCGATGTTTCGGAATTATGAGCTGTAATGCAAGAAAATTGTCTTTCGTATATTTTCGGTAAAGAATTTTTTTCCTCGAAAGTACGTAGGATTTCGGGAGTATGTGTATTCACCAAAAATGATTGTAATTGACTCCTGCATCTAAAAAGAATTTTTTTAGAACGATTTGAAATTTTTTAAGTTTGTCGAAAAATTTGTCCACCTTCCTGAATTTTTTTCTCGAAAATGGATAGGATTTCGAGGTTATGTCTATTGACCAAAATTGATTGTAATTAACCCCCCTAGCTAGAAATAATTTTTTTAAAACGATTTGAAAACATTTTTTTTCGCCGGAAAATTTCAGTGAAACATATCAATGTATGGTCAGACATCACATTTTCGGTAAGGAATTTTTTACTCGAAAGTGCGTAGGATTTCGGTGGTATGTCTATTGACCAAAAGTGATTGTAATTGACCCCTGAAACCGAAAATATTTTTTTTAGAACGTTTTGAAATTTTTTAATTTCGCCGAAAAATTTCAGCATCTCCTCGAATTTTTGGCCCCTAGAGTTTCCCATTAAAATTTCTCCCAAGGATAGTCGAAAGTTGTGTAGAACTTTCTGGGCGATATTGACAATTATGGCAAGAATAAAAGGGATAAAACTTAAAAGTCCAATACAGTAACAAATTTCGGTGGTGCTATAGTTCATGCACCGTCACTGTATTATTATGCAAAGAGTGGCTGTCACGATGGGGGAGTATAATGAGTAAACGAAACGAAAATATTTCGTGACGTTAAATCGTGATAGGATTTGCAGTCGCATATAAGATTCGCCTGTCGAATGTCGTTCGCGTGGCAAATAAACAAACTGTCCACGTAGCGTAATAACGTTCCGAGCGTTCGAACTATCGCGTATTTACCGAGGTCCGGTAACTGGCGAATTACATTTATATTACGTTAACCAGTTACTGTGCGACCTTTCGATAAATTCCAATTGTCGTTTCCTGGCTGGACGAGGAGCGCCCGGGTGTCGCCCATTGTTCCCAGTCGACGACAATTACAGCCGGTAAACAAGCGTCACTGGCCTCTTTATTGACCCTGGACGATTTTTCCCGTCTGTTTCAGAATCGACGCCCGAGAGAAACCGGTCACCAAAGCCCACCACGCGTCGGACTCCACCGTGTTCGGGCCTCGAGCGTATTTCCGGACCGCGTTCCCCAGCCCCGCGGTCCTCGTCATCGAAGACATCAAGAGGCACGACGCCGCCACCTACAGGTGCAGGGTCGACTTCCGGAAGGGCCAGACACGCAGCTTTCGATACAACCTCACCGTCATCGGTGAGTCCCATCGCCTTCGTCAACTATTCTTTCGAAGCAACGCCTCAATAAAACATTTTTGTTACACATCTACTACAAGACTCAATTTTTTACCTATTTCTCGCATCCTCAATGAATTCAGGACTCAGCTTGAATTTTAGAACTTTAAATTGAGGATCTATAATCCTCTCAAGCTTTAGAATTTTGTCCTTAACCCTTCAAATAGACTCTCAATTTCAACTGAATTGTTTTACTCTTTCTCAAATTATGAGCTTTATCAAATTAGTGAATGGAAATCAATTTTCCTTTAAAGCATTTGAGAAATAATGAAGAATTATTGTGGGAGGCCCCAATAACCACATAAGATTTTTTTTGAATCTGAGAAACTTAAAAAATCAAATATTTTATCCGAGCCTAGTAAATTTTGGAATCCCAGGAGGGTATTGTGACTATATAGTAGGAGAACTATGGTTGCGACCGAAGATCCCCGAAAAGGAAAATAAACGAGCGCCGGAAGAGTTTAATCAAGATCAAAGCAACGCTATTACGAGGCCCTGAAAAGCGCGCCGTAATTTCTGGTGTCAAACAAATTTAGCAGCTAGCTGAAAAGGACCCTCGAACGGCGTATTAGCCTCTTCGCAGGCGGAGGCGGATGAGCGCCAGGCTGAAAAAATCGATGGACGGTCGTTCCGTCGTCTTCGAGAGCAACGATACCTACAAACCTAGCAACAATCGTGTTTTTCTAACATATTTCGCGTCCAGACTAACTTTACTAGCCACGAATCCGTCGAAGAGAACTTCGCTATTTTTCATTCGAATCAAAATAAATAGATTCTACTGTTGCAATTCTCGATGTTCTTCCAAGCCCTTCTATGCTATAAGACGCGTTATCTTTTATCGAAAGGCACGAGTAAGAGTGGTTCAATTTCAATCTGGCTGGGCCAGCTAAAATCCCTGCGTTAGGATGGATACTTTGGCAAGAATGGGGCGAAAGGTTGATCGGAGGACTCCTTGCAGCCAACGCGTTAGCATCCTTTCGCTCGACGAGGCATTCCAACGGGGAGGGGCAAACACACGCTCAACTTGCCAGACGCCAAGCGTCGTCGGGTCGACGTCACTACCGAACGTCGAACGAAAAGTGCAGTTCTCAGCGGGCGCTAAGTCTGATCAAACAAATGGCGACTGTTGAAAAATGCATGAGCCAATCGAAGACGCGCGACCCCCTGATCCCGGTCCTCCGTCGCGACGACCCGGCCACGTGGACCGACCGGCTAGACGGCTGTTTACGCTTTTCCGCTTAATCCTGCGAACGTGATCGCGAGTTAAAGACTTACGAAGAAAACGGGACGACGAGACACCGACGGTCGAGCCTCGATCGTCGAGATTCGGGACTTTGCACTCCGGCGAGCTAATTAAAATGTCTGGTTTCTAAATCGAATCGAGGCTCTGATTATTATATAATAGCTCCGAGTCTATTGTGGCCGAGGATATAGCCGTTCTAAAATTTACGATCTCCAGGATATTCCGAGATGGTAGAGTTTGACCTCGATCGATCGTAACAACGTCTGGTTGGAAAGATTCTACTATGGATGATTCGAAGAAACTTATTTAGGGATATTTTGACACGAGAATTGATAGATCTTGCACGCGACGCGTACAAAAGGAATTTTCAATTTTCTACCAAGAATGGACTTTTCCTGAATATTTTTTAAATCCCAATTCCTGTATAGCAGGCACGAAATTGTTTTCTATTTTTAGCGAAGATGGATATACGATTTTCTTTATATCGAATATTACCGCGTCACTCTTACATATTGGGGGGTGGAGCGTGATTTTCCGTTTCGCGACGAAATCGTCAAGTGGTTCTGGTATTTGGCGACTCGAGCGGGGTTCCAGAGTGATGTATAGATCGCTGTGTCGTCAGCAAAAATTGCTAGATATACGTTAGGGGTTTTTGGGAAGGTCCCTGATGAAGATATTAAACATCGATGTTTGCTGGCACTAACACGTAAGCGTTTGGACTCGAAGATCCCCCGTACCCTCGAGTGTTTATCCACGGTTAATCGAATAAATAAATGATCCTCGGAGTAAATTCTGTACATGGGTAACGTCTACGCGTACGTAGCCGCGGCTGCAGTCGATCATAAAGTCCACGAGGAGGGTGTAACTTTCATGGATGCTCTTCAAAGCAGTCGGTGGCGTAGTACGTTCGAATCTCCTCGGGATATCCCGTATAGCTCGCGGCGGGAATATAACCTGGAAAATCCTGGCTTCGATCCTTCGATACCGGAATCCATCTTCGCCGGCAATCCCGAACCTTCTTTCGTTCCTAACCCGTCGTGGTTCGAGGTTAGAAGGCGAACCGTGCGAGGAACGGAGACGGCGAATGAAAAGGAAGCGCCGTAGAAAAGGAGGGGAATGGATAACGACGGAAAAGAGGCAGGAAAAGGTGAAAGCAGAGGGTGAGAAACGGCATAAATGTCGCAGTGCAGGTTCCAGCAAGACCTCCGGGCTAACGTGGAATTGCTCGATCTTTATCTGTTCGGCTTTTCCCGCGCGTTTGTCGCGCGCGTGCCCCTCTACGCGCGAATTCCGCGACAAACCCCCGTCTCGCGAAAAACCTTCCAGGCAATACCCGCGGAAAATTAATGGCCGTATCGCAAAACGCGGTTTAACTCGACCCCGATGCGTTCTCCGAACGTTGCTTTCGTTGTTCATTTTTCTTCGTTACGCGTCAACTTAACACATCCACTGCCACGTCAACCGCGTATGGGTGACACGATTTTTCACTGAGGAGCTACAGAAAATCAATTCTCAAGATCGGATGGTAAAAAAAAATCAATCTAGGCGGGACTATTGAATTTTAACCAGGTTGTAAAAATAAGTCAATTGTCTAAAAACAAAGTTTCGATTTCGTGGACAACCAACATGTTAAAAGGTGCATTTCAATAGCAAATTGGACGTCCTCTATCGGAAGAAAATCTAGAGACTAATCTCGAGCACATACCTTCAGTTTAAAAATTTAAAAAAATGCCAAAGGATCCCACCATATTCTCCAGACATTGTATCGTCCGCCTAACGAACGAAGTAGTAATATCGCGTGCATTTTATAAATGCAGTCCTGTTTAGTTCCGAGGGGAAATTTTCGAAGCTGCCAGTGCGGGGCAAACGTAGGAAAGTACGCGGCCGCGAGCGCGATATTCCAAAAAGGAGTCACGAAAGAAATTGGCCCCGGCTGGAAAACCCGTCCGCTTTGAGCGAGGTATTTTCATCAGAGGAGATTGGTTCCCAAGAGTTCCTAGATTGCGTCCGTCCACTAGATTTTCCCTCGTAACCGGCGTCCTTCCGCAGCGACGGCCCACCTTTTTATCGGTCATTTCCCTTTCTTTCATATCGTGCTCTTCCCTATTGCCGATGATACTAGCCGCCGATACGCGCGTAACCTCGTGCTACCCCGACCTACGGACCAACGAGCCCCGGAAACTTCGTTGCCGGACCGGATCCCGGTTTCCTTTTGCCCCGCGGGATTATTTTCCCAGGAAAGAAAAGACCTCGCGAAACAAAATCGAGCACCCAGCTACCACCCCCCAATCCCCAGAAGCAACGACGACGCCCTCGCTTTTCCAGCAGATTGCTCGAAAAAATACGAAACGCTCGAGAAATTCACCCTCCTTGGAACCAAAATGCTGTTTTTCTATTAAAATTTGTTCGGGTTTTGCTTCAATTAATTTTATATAATTGGAGTCATTTGTGACCAATCTATAGTATTTTCTATACGAGTTTGTAAACAGTTTCTACAATACTTCGGAGATTCATAGCTGGTACGATCGCTGCATCGCGTATTGTGGTCTGAATGTTTTAATGTCTTTCTCTATGGTAATAATGCGACGGAATAAGAATACCTTGAACAAGAATTTTCCGCAGAAGAGGTGGCACTCTATACCAGCCAAACGATAAGACAAAACGTTTCCCATTTGCTTCCAAACGCGGAGTTAAGCATTTGTTCAGCGATCTCTCCCGGGTTCGCGGACAACAAATTTCCCAAACGTTGAAAAGAATAGGAAGACTCGAAGATCTATTCAAGAAGACATAGAAATCTCCACGCAAAATAACGTGTATAACTGTACACCGAGACCATTGTTTCTCACGGGATATTGTGTTCATTTTATTCACGAAAAATTTCATTCTGCGCGCGAGCCTCACATACTAGACACCATACTCCCAACGTTTAAGATTGCAACTTTTTACTGCCAATTCTTCTTTGACCCAATTCTATGCAATATAAAGTTTAAATTGAGACCTGAGTGAAGAATGTGCTGGAATCGTAATTCAAATTGACACGTTAGAATGTGTTATAATATATCTTTTCTATAGATTGAACTTTACTTGTTGATTTTATCCTGAATTTTTGATCACCCAACAATTTCGCTTATTGAATATCCAATATGAAAAGAATCCTAGTAACCATAAAATGTTGAATAATTTCTACTAACATGAATTCTCTAAAATCTTAAAATGCTTTCGTAATTTATTAAAACACGAGAACTCGAGGTTCGAGAGAACAATCTTGTTGAAGTTTCGGGATTTTCGAGCGCCGCGGGTCCCGGTCCAGCATCACGAGAATTTAATGAATCGTTGGGAACGGATCCCCGACACGTGAATGACGCGCGATATTAGTTTTCCGGATTGCCTCGCGACGCGTGTCGCCATCGACTTTTTATTCCCGACAGTAAACGATGGGAAGATAAATACACGCCCGTTCGCTACGAAATCGTTACGAAAAGGCAACGCTCGATGCAGGGGGGAGTATCGCCACCGCTTCGAGCATAGAAATAGAGATGGAAAATTGTAAAAGATTGAAACGAAGCCTGCCGCTGAAGTGGTAGGAAGGAAGAATAGAGATCTGCCCTCGTTAAGGAAATAATCCGCGGCTTAATTAAATACAGTGCAATTAGTTCTGCTTCTATAGGTAGCAGGTCGTGCGCTAGCGAACTATACACCTCCCGCCAAAAGTTTCGGTA